CCCTAAACCCCTAAACCCCTAAACCCTAAACCTCTAAACCCTAAACCCCTACACCCAAACCCCTAAACCCTAAGCCCCTAAGCCCTAAACCCTAAACCCGGCTTTAGTATAGGAGCCCTCAGCCGCAAAGTTCTGCTATGAGGAGGCTTCGGAGTTTCGGCTTCCCCGGTCTACCGCCGATGTCAGAAGGTGCCATGGGCCGGGTGATACATGGGTTTAGGGGTTTAGGGTTTAGAGTTTAGGGGTCCCATGCACTGGTATGGAGGTAGATCAGGAAGCCCTAGAACCCTCAAAGCCCTAAGCCCTAAACCCTTGTTTCTCATCAACTGCCGCGTAGGTAGTCGAACCTGCAGCCAAGAATCGCTGAATCTGCATGGCCGTGCTTCTCTGCACATTTTGTGGCGCAGTGCAGCAATTATGATGTGCAAAGATTATCATCAGCATGTGTAGCCGACTATGCTGTCGACGCCGAAAAATTGTAACATTATAGCTTGTGGGTGCCAAAGGGGGTTGGATAAGGAGTAGTATAGGCCATCTTTCAGGATCCTCTATGGGCAGTTCTCTAGGTTCGGGCCCCTTTCTGGTGCCCAGTATAGCACGGCCACCCTTACAGAAAAGGAGCCTAAACTACTAAACGGGACCCTAAACCCTAAAAACCCTAAACCCTAAAAACCCTAAAAGCCCTAAACCCTAATTTAGAGAACTACCCATACCAGGGAGCTGCTGTAACCCTGAACACTCGCCACCCCCCGTAAATGGCTCTCAGTCCATGGCTGGCTGGTAGTAGCCTCGGCTTGTTTAGGGCTTATAGGGGGTTAGGGATTTAGGTTTAGGGTTCAGGGCTTTAGGGTTTGAGGGTTTAGGGCTTTAGGGCTTTAGGGTTTGAGGGTTTAGGGCTTTAGGGTTTTAGGGTTCAGGGTTTTTAGGGTTTGAGGGTTTAGGCCTTTAGGGTTTTAGGGTTTCGGCTTTAGGGCTTTGGGGTTCAGGGTTTTAGGGTTTTAGGGTTTAGGGCTTTAGGGTTTTAGGGTTTAGGGTTTAGGGTGTGGCATGTGGGATTTGATGCTTCGTGTTTGAGGATACCGTAACGTTCATGTAGGGGTTTAGGATTAACGGGTTCCAGGGGTTTAGGGCTCCAGGTGTTTAGAGGTTTAGGGCTCCAGGGGTTTGGGGTTCGTTTGGGATTCAAGAAGGGGTGCTCGATTTAGGGTTTTGCGGTCATTGTACACGACGGGTCCAAATGCCCGTTTCTGTTGGATGTTGCGTATTCTCAACAAGGGTTTCTGGGTTTGAACGAAGCACTCCTAAACCCTATAGACCCTAAACCGTAATCTCGGGCTTTGACAACTTTCAAGCTTGAGCTTGAGGGCTTCTAGGGTTTGTAAGTGCAGGTGAGGGGTCCCCGATGCTCCAAAACTAATTCATCCCCTTCTGGGTTAGAGAACTGGCGATTCCTTTGCAAAGGACTTGAAAATCAGGATCTCCGGGATCTGAATACGTGGGATCCACATTTCCTGAAACTGACACCATCTGAGATCGTGGCGCGAAGCTCCCTGGCGCCATCTCGCAAAGGGATCCTTCACACACAGAACCTAAAAATGGTGGGAGTTTCCCAGAAACATGGACCCTTTTTCTGTTCTGGTCGGGGGCCGTGTTTTAGAGTGCTGGTCGCGGCAGGTGGCGGCGTTCAGAGACCTCTTGCTCAACATACCACCTACAAAGGGATACGATTGCTGCCTAAGACTTGAAGGAAACTACAGGTGGGGAGTTTAGGGTATATAGGGCTTCTATCAGGCTTCTATAAGGTATATAGACCTTCTATATAAGGCTTCTACAACCTGAAAATGTCCTAGATAAGCGGGCTCAGTTTTCAGGGAGCCTACCTTGAACCCTAAACAAAACCCCCCAAAAAACGCACCCTAAACTGAACCCCACACCCACGAACCTTGAGCGTCAAGGCCCTTCGCACCGGACTGGCCCGGAACATCAAAATGGAACCCTACATGAGATACACCGCCTTCCAAAGAAAGGATGGCTAATAACCGAAACCCTTCCTCCTATTGAATGCAATAGGATAGGATCCTTGCAATAAGGACCGGGTAATCACAACATCCTGAACAAAACCGATCCTAGGTAATAGTTTGGACCCTAAATAAAACGACTCCTTACACTCAGGACCCCAAAAGACAGGGTGACTCTCCCGCCCACTCCCCAGCCCCGCTGGCAGCATGCATTTTCTTCCTTTCGCAAATGGCGGACGCGTGGGGGCTCGTGGCCGAGACTCTAGGCGTGAGCATTTGGGGTTTAGGGTTTAGGTTCTACCTGGAGTCCTGCACCCACCCCCTGTTTTCGGATATAGTACACCTTTCGAGGATAGCTTCCACAAAAGCTATTCCAAAACCCTAAACCCCATTAGGTACTGTCCCAAGGCTGTAGAGCATCAACCTCTGGGCGTGGGTTTAGAGTGAGTTGCACGGTCTGGGGTGAAGGGCCCAGGATGCAGACTATTGCTGGTTTAGGGCTTTAGGGCTTTAGGGTTTGGGATTTGACGACATTAAATCACAAACTGTGGAGAGTGGAGAAAGCAAAACCACTAGTAAATGGCGATGCCCAACTACAGGGATCTGACAATTAGTCCTGCTGTTTCCTTATAGTCCCTACACTAATTAGTAAGGCCCCTTTGTTGGCTTGTTGCGGTCATCTGCCCTCACGGAAGCTGCACTCGAAGTTCGTCACTTGCTCGGTAAACTGCCCATCTTTCGTCTTCAGGCCTGCGCATTCCAGCGCAGCATTTGCAGATTTGTTGTTTAGGCAGCCATGAGAATTGAGATTTGAGTAAACCCTAAACCCCAAAAACCCTACTGGGCCTTAAAACCCTAAACCCGAAAAACGGCCTTAGTAAACCCTAAACCCTAAAAGGCCTTAGTAGACCCTAAACCCTAAAGGGCCTTAAAACCCTAAGCCCTAAAAGGCCAGAGTAAACCCTAAACCCTAAAATGCCCTAAAAGGCCGGAAAAAACCCTAAACCCTAGAAGGCCTTAATGGGTTTAGCACAGGGTTACAGCCATCGGGGTGCCAAGAGCGAGACCACAAGAAGGCCCAAGGCCGATTGGAGCCATCTTCGCCGGGCCAAGCCCAGAGTACCCAATACCCCTTATATAATTAAGGAATATACCTTAAATTATAGGGGCGTTCGTATTTTGACTTAAGGTATCTTCTTTAATTAAGGGGTATTGGGCTCTCTGGGAGTGAATTATGGGGCAACTGATAATCTGCAGTCTGTTTAGGGCTTAATTGTAGGGTTTATAGAGTTTAGGAGCTAGAGTAGCTGTTTTGGGGTTTAAGTTTTTGGTTTTCGAAATTAGCATGGCATGCAGGGGCGTAAGTTGGGATGAGCTTCAGGCAGGGATGGCTGCACATTGCTGCTTCGCAACCATCTCCTCTCAAGCTAGCACGGCCCTGTGAGAAACTGATGGGCTTTCCAGCCACACCTCGCAAGCTGCTTCTGCCGGACCTCTGTATGACTAGCCTCTACATACCCTCCGGGAACCTGCAAACCACTGCACACAGCGATAGCCGATACTCTATCAAACTATCCAGCAGGGATTTCTCGAGTATCCCCACAGTAAGGCCGAAGTATACACTCACCTCCAGCAAGACCCACCGAATTTAAACCCCCACTTCACATTGATTGTCTCAGCCCGTGACCCAGAACACCTCTGTGACGCAAATCTTAGACCCTGAATCTCAACCCAGAAGTCATAAACCCTGAACCCTAAACCTTCAATCCCCGTCTCCCCTACTCCCAACCCAAAAGCCATGAACACTGAGGCCCTTAACGTTAAACCACCTCCCTTCACACGCGCCTCGCATGACGAGGTACTCCCTTGCTTTCCGCTTCTGGGCCTCTTGGGACGACTTTGGATTTAGATTTAGGGATTCGGGCTGGCTTTTCATGGTTTATGTGGATAGTTCTCTAAATTAGGGTCCTTTTTAGGGTCTGTTTTGGTCAGGGTGCCGTACTCTGTTTGGGATCTAAAACAGGGCCCAAATTTAGAGAACCCTAAACCCTAAACCCTAAACCTTAAACCCTAAACCCATGTAGCGATCAGGGCTTCGAGTCGAGGTTCGCACGCGCTGTGGCACCTGGACCCGCCCTCGGTCCCAAACAATCTTTTCTTTTGTTTCGGGCCTTTCCTGTCGGTTGCGGTCCAAAGCCCATGTTGGGCCTAAACCCTAAACCCTAATCCCAAACAACCTTTAGGGTTTTGGGTTTAGGGCAGTGAAAAGATTGGGAATTCGGTTCGCATGAGGGTGTGGGCCTTTAGTGTGCCGGCCATTTAGGCTAGCTGATTTCCCAAAGCCGAAACAAAACAGCTGGCTATGTTACCATACTCGAAGGTACATGAACCGAGCGTATTTACATTGAATCCTGCTTTCAAGCCGTCATGTGTTTAGAGATTAGAAGCCCCGGCCAGGGAAGACACTCTAAACAACGTCAAGGTGCACACCAAACCCAACGATCTTCAACCCTACCTAAAGTCTCCGTCTGTATCTCTGTTAGGTTCCTACATAGAAAAATGGTTAAACCAAAAAGGGAACTGCAATGGACACTATAGGTAACCATCAAACCAACCAGCAACTCCTATTCATCCGCAAAATTTGTAGTGCCACCGAACAATCCCAATGCCAGCATCGTATACCATCACCCCTAAACCCCAAACCCAAAACCCTAAAACCTAAGATTCACAGTCCGTCGCCTCGGCTTGCCGTTGCTTGGCTTCGCGTTTCCGCTTCTTCCGCAGCTCTGCCGAATCTGTGGAGGAAGAAGAACCTGTTCAGGCTTTAGGGCTTCTTAGGGTTCAGGCTCTGGGGCTTCTTAGGGTTTAGGCTTTATAGGGCTTCTTAGGCTTTAGGGTTCAGGGCTTCTTCGGGTTTAGAAGCTTTTGGCTTAGGGCTTCTCAGTGTGTAGGATTTAGGGCCTCTGATGGTTTTGGGTTTAGGGTAAAGCCTTTCCGGCTGCAGTTTCGGCTACTGGGCTCACATCGTAGATGCATCTGCCAAAATGGCTACCCTACCCAGATCCAGGTGCCTGACTAGCTATTCTAAGGCTGTTAAGTTCATGCGGGATCCATGCACGTACATGGCTACCATAAGGCTCTTACGTTGATTCAGGATCTAAGAAGGTCCCTACCCCTGGAAATGCTACGGTACGACACGCCAACCGCTTCCCTCAACAAAAAAGCTCGCCGTAAAGCCCAAACCCTGAACCCTGAACCCTGAGACGGCCCACTAAACCCCAAACCCTAAAACCCTAAACCCTAAGCTTAAGTTATAAGATATACCTTGAGGATGCCGGGGCTGATTTCATGGCTAGGCTATGGAACTTAAGCCAACTTAACACTTAGGGAAGGCTATCATCATTCGTTCGTAATCTTTACATGATTGTGGCTACGGATCTTATCCTCATCAAGATCCCCCTTATCACTTGTCATTCTCATTGACATAGTTTTGGTATTCGTTACTATGGTAACTCAGGAGGGAGTACCGCGCTCACCGAGCACAGAAGAATCCCAGTCTGCCGTCAGCGCTGGGTGGTAGGGTTATTTCAGAGGCTTCAGGGCTTGAGGATCATAGTGTCTTAGGATTTCAGGGTCGGCAGAGAAAACCTCCACGGTTTGTACCGATCATGACGGGCCTCGCGGGCAACCGCAGGATTTCCCTGCCATGATAATGAGAACAGGGCTTTGGAGCATATCGAAAAAGTACAACAAGAAACCTTCAGTGGAACCTTAAAGAAGAATAGTTGATAGTAGCCCCAAAGGCCCGCAATAGACTGCATCGTCCTAGAGCCGAGCAGCTCGAAGAGGATGACGATGAAGAAGTCGACTTCCTTGCTACACAAGGCCCACATACATGTCCATGGCCTAGCCCTCTGAAGGCTTTAGATGATTGGGATCTATAGCATAGGGGCCCTAATGGTTTGCACTAGGGTTGTGGGGTATATATTGGAGTATAACTAGATGCGGGCCATATATTCCGACCCTATATTCGATGCATTACGATGGCTTCAGTCACTTCTCGCACGACTCAGTATTCTCTGACCAGCGTCGCTAGCAGGAGTACTTGTCGTGCTACCATGAGGATGACTCGTATGCTTGCTCTTGCTGCGACCATGGCCGCTCAAAACCGCGATGCTCTACCCACAGGCCCCTAAGCAGTTCCTTTTTGGGATTACCTTGTAGGATTCTAAATATAAACCATAGAAAGGAACTACTTTGGGGCCTTTGGGTAGAGTTTAGGGCTTGGGGTTCCAGAAATGACATGCTGCGCTGGAGGAATCCCGGTAGTGAGAGGTGGAGTCTGGAGACTGCTGCTTCTGACTCCCTAAACCCCAAAACCCGAAACCCCCTAAGCCGTCTACAATCCAAAATCCGTAAACCCCACAAGCCCTGAGCCGTTTGGGGCTTGGGCTTTTGGGGCTTGCGGGCTTCAAAGACTTTGCAGACCAGCCGAGGGGTTCTGGAAGGCTTTTTCTCGTCTAGGTTCTGCAATTAAAGATTAAAGTTCCAGGGCCAACCAGGGGTTTGGTGTTGTTCAGCCTCTGGGGATCAGGCTTCCACGTTTGCCGAGCAGTTCGGATCTTAGGGTTGAAGGTCTGAGGCCAAGAAGCTTGAAACCGTGAGGCCCGAAGCCCTGAACCCAAAAGCGCCCTAAACCCTACATCCTACAACCTACTCCACGAGCAAGGCGTCTTCTTCTTTTTCTTCTTCCCTTTCTTGTCCTTTCCCTTTTGCTTCTTCTGCCGGCGAACTCAGATCACTGGTCCGGTGACTTTAGACAACCCTCCGGGTCTGTGTGCCCAAATCGTAGAAAACTTCGGCCCCAAGTCGCTGAACGGTTTAGGGTTTAGGGACTACTTTGAAGCCAAAGTATAGACACCCTAAACCTTAAACCCGATTCCGGCGCATGGACTCTTAGGGCAAGAAGCCGGAGAAGAGTTGCATCTTGGGTTTTGAAGGGTTAGGGATAAGGTGTAGGCTAGGGCAGTTTAAGGCAAAGTGGGTCGCTAGGCTTCTATACGAGTTGTGCAAGGGTTCCGGTTTAGGGTTTAAGGGTTTAAGGGTTGTTATTTTTAAGGGTTCTATTCTACTTAATACAAGTTTGTGACCGGGTCTTATGCGGCGGTTCCCCGAAGCGCCACGCAGTTCAGTGCTCTAGGAGTTTCTTAGAAGATGTTTTTTTAGTGCAGTGGCCCTTTCTCCCAATAGGATGTTGTCTTGAAGGGATGTATTCATGTGGCACTTCTGGCATCTTTTATGGTCCTTGAAGCCGCCATCCACAAAAGCTACCCCGAACCGAGAAGACACACATGCAAGAAGCCTGAGCCGATAGCCCTAAGCGACGACGACGGATTCAATGCAAAGGCCAAGAGTTTGGTTTTAAGAGTTTAGGAGTTGTGGGTTCCCTTAGAGGGTTCCCTTAGGGGTGATACAAGGGCTACTCTAAGGGTTCTGTACCCAGGTTTGCTTTAGGGTTTTGAGTTGTGGGATCTTGGATTCCCGGCATATATTTTTGAAACAGCACCTCAAGCATGCATGTGGTGTAAAGTCTGGGGCTAAGCCCAGCGGTGGCCGGTTCGACGGATTCGTGTTTCGGTGTAGCTCCAGTCTGCCTCTAATTGTCGCTACCCCCAAAATAACTGCACTTGCATGTGTCACGACAACCTAGACGATTCATCAGCGAAAGACCTCTTCTAGCCGAGTGCCGTATATTATATTCCTGAACCCTAAACCCTAAAGCCCCCAACCCTAAACCTCTGGCCACTAATCGCAAGACCCTCCATTAAGAAAAGTGCCCGCAGCAGTTCAGGGTTTAGGGTTTAGGGTTTAGGCCGAACAAAAAGCGAATTAAACGACAACGCGCTTGAAGGTTTTATCCCCCCATGGTGGATGAGCTTCAAGAGTCTCTGTTGGCAGTGGTTTAAGCTTTCTATCAGTTGCTTTAAAGGTTCTACATATTTTTGAGGGTTGCTCTAATTCTTACAAGATTGGCTGTAAGCGTTACACTAAGTAGAAGGACTCTATTTCTCTAGACATTTGACCTGAGGGGTACAGGGAAAACTTTGTTCTGACTTCCTGGATTCTACTGTAAGCCCCAAACCCCTAAGCCGTAAACAATAAACTCCAAAACATCTAAATAAAGTGCTAGCTTCCCCAGCAACCCCTTCATAATAAGGGTACCCATTTTCCTAATATTCGGCTATAATAAGGAGACCCCCAAACAAAAGGGGCAAAAGGCTACTACTGGGGAACCTAAACTGTTTGCCTTAAATCCTGAAACCCGACACTGCAACCCCAACGCCCTGAAACTAGCTGAGGGTCCCGAAACCTCGTAGGAGCCTTGTCCGATTTGTCCTTCTTGCCTTTGCTTTCTCCTGTATCTCCGGGTTTCACCAGTAGCCAATGCTGCACAAAGGCGACCAGAACTGCATAAATCCTCACCCGAAAGAGAAAATCCCAGACCTTATGTAACTCTGTAAATCCTCAGCCGGAGTCCTTTCTTCTTTTCTTTCTTTGACTTCTTCCCTGCTTTGCCTCCTTCCTTTACCTTGTCTTTCTTCGCCGATTCCTGCGGGCGAAAGCTAAGGCGAACAGCTTGTGATGATAGGAAGATCTGGTATGCCCTACCCCCACAAGTGCAGATATCATTATGCTTGCATGGGTGGCCACTCATCTTATAAAGTTCAGACCTGCAAGGTGCTACATGCATTGCAGACATGCCGACAACATCCGACAACCATACAAGTAGCCTCGCTCACGCGCTGGCATGCATCCGCCCATGCAGACACAACTGCAAATTGAAGCCACTCGTAAGAATGACAATAGGAATAGGAATGGTACGACCCTAAACCCTAAACCCTAAAGCTTAAACCCTAATGGCAGGGTCGGAGTCTTGGCGCCTTTGGATCGCTGTCGACACCAGAAGGCTCCGAGGCATCCGACATGACCACGACGGCACGGAGAAGGCCGTGGAGGGGAGCGGTTAAGGGCTTAGGCTTCCTAAACCCTAAACCTTAAGCCGGGTTGAGGTTTGGGATTTCTGGTTCCGAGTTCGGGTTTACGGTTTCTCGGGCTCACTCGGGTTTTCGTTGGACGATCTTGGTTGGCTTTCTATCACACACTGAACTTCGGGGGCGTGATGGCTGTTGCAAGCTTGCTGTCCTACAATCCGGCCGAAGCCCTAAACCCTAAACCCTTAACCCTAAACGCCTAAACCCTAACGCTTAAGTCCTAAACGCGAAACCGCCCCTTCGAGAGGCTGGAGGGGCTTCGGGTGAAACTTTGAGACTCTAGGGTACAGCTAGGGTTTCAGTTAAGGTCGAGGGTTTAGGCTTTAGGGTTTAGGTTTGAGGAATCTTTGAGGGACTAGAACCGAATAAATTTCGGGCTTTAGGGTTTCATGGTCTTTGGGGCGTTTCAAGGTTTAGGGCTAGGGTTTATGGGTGCAGGGTTTAGGGTTTGGGATTTAGGGTTTCAGGTTGAGGTTAACTACCAGCGACATGTTCAGGGTCAGGGGTCAAAACATCCAGTTGTGTTTCAGCGGTGAGCTTGAGCATCAGGGCAAGCACAGCGTATGGCCCCTTTAGGGAGTAAGGCTGTAGCAGGCAAATGCCTCTGAAACTAAACCTGGGATTTTGTTTGAGACGAGGGTGAGCATCAACGAGTCATAGACAACCTCAGACGCAGCCCTAAACCCTAAACCCCTAAACCTCAAACCCTACTCTCTTATGCCCATGGGTACAAGCGACAAACATGCCTACCTGCACCCGAAGCCAAGCTCCGAAAGTCCAAACCCCAGGCAGTGGAAGACGGCAATCCTGAATCCTAAACCTCAAATAAATCCTGAACCCCGAAAGCCAGGCACCAAACCCCTCACCTTAGACGAGTCTGACATCCTTGAACCCTACAAACCTTCTGGACCCTCCCTCGTACCCTCAAATAGGGGGTCCCAAATACTGGGTATTTACAGTCTAATATAGAAGGTTGATGGAAGGTCGAGGTCTATAGTCAACCCTAAACCCCAAACCTCCCCCCTCCCTTCCCTCAAACCTAGACCCTGAACCCTAAACTCTACGACCCACCCCCCTTCTCTCCCCCCCCTCTCCCCTCAAGCCTAAACCCTAAACCCTACACTCTACCCCAAATAGCCTACCTTTTCAAGGACTGGTATAAAGAAATCATAACAAGGAACCCTAAAACAGTAGGTTCTTTGGGGTCCAGGTACACTCTACACCCCCCGCCTTTCGGTCCAAGTGTTCGGGCCAGGTTCGCTGGACACCGCTTGATGGCGCCTGTCTTAAGGGGTTTAGGGATTTACAGGGCTGCTAGGGTTTATCGGGGTTTCGGGGTTTAGGGCCTATAAGGGTTTAGGCTTGAGGAGCCTTATGGTTTAGGGTTGACGATATTTGGGCTTTAGGGTTTTCGGGTTTAGGATTTAGGGCTTTAGGGGCTTAGGGCTTTAGTGTTTCAGGGCCGAATTTCAGGTTTTAGGATGTAGGGTTTAAGGGTTTAGGGGTTAACGGGTCTGGGGGTTTAGCGTTCAGCTTTTTGATTTGGAACGTCCCTTCGCCGTCTCGCATAGGTCCGAAAAGTCAGTACGGCTGGGGTGATGCTTTTGCACCGTCGGCTCCAAAGTAAACTGGCTGTGCACATCTCACCTTCCGGCAGAGACAACGAGCTGTAAAACCTTGTTCTCACTTTGGACCCCTGTGCGGTGGTTCAGGGTTTTAGGGCTTAGGGTATGAGGGCTTAGGATGTAAGGTTTGACTAGGCCCCTCTCTTCCTAAGCCCTAAACCCTAAACTCTCTTTTTTGGCCTACGCCTTTGTCCCTCAGGGTCCATCTAATTCATGTTGAATTCTCGAGATGTCTTCGGTGCCAGAACAACTTCATAGCGACTACTTCTGTTGATGATATACACCCTTAGCATTACCGTAAGGACCCTAAACTATGGGAATTATGGCATATTCCTTATTATGGGTAATGCAGGATATATATCATCAACCGTTTGGCCTTAACAAGACATTCACACTGCCAGAACCTCCTGGCCCTCAAGAGGAAGCTAAAGTGCCTGGAGCAATGTCGAAACCTCTATGGCCAGCTTCACAGAAACCACTGTCCGATTTATTGCTTAGGGCTTTTGCCGTTGTCGTTCAGGGGAGTCTGGATGCAGGACTCTTGGACCCTTGGACTACGTGAGTTTATGTGGGCTCGAAGCACAGCATCGAAACCAACACTAAGTCCTAAAAACCGTACACCCTAAACCCTGAACCCTAAAACCTAAACCCTGCAACCCTGAAGCCCCAAACCCTAAAACCCTTAGCCCTAAACCCTGAAACCCTAAAACCCTAAACCCTGAACCCTAAACTCCCTAAACCCTCAGCCCGTATTGGCCTCCTCGACTGGAAAGCTCGGCAAAGGAACCTCCGACAGCGGACACCCTCAACGTGAGACCCTGAATGGTCTGGTTTGGAGTCTCTGGTTTAGGGTTTGGGGGTTGAGGGTATGGAGTTTAGGGGTTTAGGGTTTGGAGTTTAGGGTTATTCAGTGTTTAGGGCTTTAGGGTCTTAGGGTTTAGGGCTTAAGGCTCAGAGTTTTAAGGTGTGCCTGCTTTAAAGCCGACAACAGCCTAAATCCGCCCATCGTTAGACCGAACATGGGGCTGTAAGTTAGCCAAGGACATGATGAGCAGTAGCATTCCTTGCGCATGCTAAACCCGCATCTTAATCTTGCCGTAAAAAAACCCTAAACACTAAGTAGTCCTTCCGCTAAACCCCAAATATTCCCTGCCAGCACCCCATGAATTGGGTGAGAAGGTTGAGGCCCAGCTGCCGAACGAGAAGGGTCCTACAGCTGAAGTGAAAAGGACCTATGAGGAAAGGGACGCGGGTTCTGGTTACGGCTTATGGTTCTGAGTTTATGGGTTTAGGGTTAAAGGCCTTGGAGTCCTTACCAGCGTGGTTGGGACATGTGTAAATCTAATGAATTGCCTTTTCGGTCGGGCCCTTTCGACATTGGAACTTCCTCTGAAAACCCTCAGGGACGCATCTTCCATCACATCTTCTCCCTAAGGGCCCATGTGCCCAAATAGAGTATATACGTTGGCCCACATGCAGTCCCTATAACATGGATACTTTGCGGCCCCAAGTATATGATGTACTATTTGGGTACATAAACCCGAAGGGTTTGGTCCTGGGGCTTTTCATCCGAAATAGCCATGCAACCTAAATGGTAGGCTGGTGGCCCGGCGGCATGAGTAGCATTGGGGTGATGACGAATCTGGGAACCCGATTCCGAAACCCGGGGCCCTAAAACCCCCAGAAATATTCGGATTCGTATAAAGCGCTCCAGTAAAGACTCAGGGTATTTTTTTCAGGTTGCTATGTTAGCTGACTAGCCCCTGCGTGCAAGCCACAAGTGAGGGCTCCGGCACTCCTAAGACACTTCTCCGTGCTGAATGCGGGTTTAAGGTTTAGGGTGTAAGAATGCACTTCATCGGTTTGGTTTAAGTCCTCGGCCAACATCGAATCGGTGCCGGAACTGCAAACACAGCTGAGAGTCACGTACCAAAGCCGTCGCCCTAAGGTCTTAAACTTGGAAAAGCCAACGAAACTCAGCAAGGCACCATCGAACATGCACACATGCACGCATCTAGCCATCCATCCGTACATCCATGCATGCGTACAGGCATGCCCACCCACATACGTAAAGATGTATAAAACATGTACTGATCCGCAAGAATGATCCTTTGAACATCATTCAGCCCACGCAGAAGCCCTTGAATCGGGCCTTGGCCGACGGAGGTACGAACCCTGCGTCCTCCTGCACAGAATCTGTGCAGTGAGCCCTAGACACCGTGCGCAGAAGACTTTTTAGGTTACAACATAGACCCAAACCCTAAACCACAAACCTCAAAACCTATATAACTACTATCAGGTCTGAAAAAGAAATCAGTCACTCGTGTGTGCCACGGGAGCATTCTAGGAAGCTACTGGAAAGCTTGTGGGAGTGCAAGAGGCAGGGTGAGCGCCCTGAAGAGTTATAGCCCCTAAACCCTTAACCCTAAAGCCCTAAACCCTAATAAACCCCAAAACCCTAAACCCTAAAACCCTAAAACCCTAACCCCTAAAACCCTAAAGCCAAAACCGTTATAGTCTATAGCTGTCAGCCCCAGATACTTCTGCTTGCATCCACCCAACAGCCCCTTGACCCGAAAATAATGTGCGGGCCTCAAAAAAATAACTAGAATAGGGTTTTGGGCTCCTTTCTAGCAGAATCATAATAAGGAAACCTCTAAGGAATCATAGTAGTTATTTAGGCCTCTCTACCATGCTGCTTGATGCTTCGGCTCTTTGCAAGACGGTGGGAGACCTGGGTTAGGGTTTAGGGCTTTTTTTTAAGGGCTTAAGGTTTAGGGATTCAGGGCTTAGGGTTTAGGGTTTATAAGGTTTAGGGTTTAAGGTTTAGGAAGTTTAGGGATTTAGGGTTTACTAGGTTTAGGGTTTTAGGGCTTAGGGGGTTTGGGGTTTAAGGTTCACTAGGTTTAGGGTTTCGGGATTTCAACCAGGTC